TATAGCTCAGCAGCATAAGCACTTGCCTGGCAAGCAGAAGGTCCCATGTTTGATTCCCTGGTTAAAGAAAAAGATAGTATAATGCCGATTGTCTTTGTCTATGCTGGCTGCTACAACAAACTACTGGAGAGGGGGGCTTATCAACCACGGAAATGTATTTCTCCTAGTTCTGGAGGCTGCAAGGCCAAGGAGCCGGTAGATCTCATGAGGTGAGGGCTGCCGCTCTGGTTCATGGATGCTGTCTTCTGTCTGGAGCCTCATGGGGTGGAAGGCGCCAGGGATCTCTTGGGGTTTCTTTTTCCCTCGTTCATGAGGGCTCTGCTTTCATGACAACGAGCTCCCAAAGGTTCTTCTCCTAATACCACCCCCTTGGGGTTAGGATTTCAGCATATGATTTCTGAGGAGAAATATACCTTCAGTAGTTGCATCAGTTTTACATTTTTATGTGGTCTTGCTATGAAATTCAGGCTGGCTTTGAACTTACCATATAGCCCAGGCTGGCCTTGACGCACCCAAAGGTGTGATGCTGAGGCGACCTTCCTGCCTCAGCCTCCTGAGTGTTGTGATTACAGGCGTGCACTACTATCCCTGGTCAGCTTTTTTTTATACTTTTGAGGAAACTGAGGCTGTCATAATGTAAATGAAGTAAAGGCCATGACGTAGAGATGTAAGAGAGCAGGGCTCTGCTGTCTGCCACCAATGACTCCCACTTGAGGGACAGAGGAACAGGTGGAGTTCCACTTAGTAAAGCAGTCCTGCTAAGTAGAGCGTTAATGGAGCCCAGGCTTCCGCCCCAAGCTGGGCTTCTGTCTTGATCCCACTGCAAGCCACAGTGGCAGCTTGGAAAGAGACCAAGAACCGACCACTCCCTGGCTCTCACTCTCTCACTGGGGTCTCCTGGAGCCCACAGCAGAGAAAGCAGGAGCTGGAGAAGAAGCTCACGGGTAGGGTGCATGACTAGGCTGCAGGATCACTGGAAAAACGTTTGTGAAGTGAGAGAGAATTTTTAAAAATAGAAAAGCCAAAATCACCATCCTGAAGATGGTCCTTGTAAGAATCCCAGGTAGGAGATCTGGCTTCTGATTCTGGCTTGCTGTGTGACCTTGAGCAAGTCCCTGCCCCTCTCTGGGCCTCAGACTCCTCGCCTGTGAAATGAGGGCTTGGGCACAGAAGTGGCCCCTTGCAGCTCTGACTTCTGTTTCCGTTTCTGGAAGCAACAGAAGGGGCACAAGTAGGCTGCCCTCAGCAGGGGACACACAGCTGACAGCTCCCAGCAGGTCACCTCCGGGAGAATGTAAGGCTGGATGACAGTCTTCATGGCACATACAGCCTTCCCAAGCTGCCTGCATCCTGGGCCCATATGGTGCTTCCTGCTAGCCAGACATGGTCAGCTGCGCTGGGCCAGCCCTGGTGACCACGTGTCCTCTAGGCTCCAGAAAGGTCTCTGTGGTTCTAGGATCCAGCTGTCCTGAGCTGGAGAGCAGGAGGGACTCAGCCCTGTGACCTCCCAGAAGTGACAAGAGAAAGGAAGGAATATTAACTACTTTTAGACCTCTTGCTAGGCATTTGGGATTCAGAAATGAATCAGAAAAACCTATCTGCCCTTGAAGTCTAATGGAGGGGAGAAGAGCAGTACTCACAATGCTCAATGCTCAGGACTGTGGGTACCCTGGGGATTGAACCCTAATCCACCCATGACCATACTCCAGGGAGACATCCTGGAGGAGGCATCTTTCTTTCTTTCTTTCTTTCTTTCTTTCTTTCTTTCTTTCAGCCAGCTCAGCCCATGGGGGGAGGGGCTGGCATGGCATGTGGTCCTGAGGATCGAACTGCAGTCCTCTGCGCCTATCTAAGCTTGCCTAAGCAGGTGCTTTATACATCTGAGCTATCTTGCCGACCCGAAGGATGCATCTTTAAAGGTGAATTTTCATTGACAGAATCCAGCCCTTCTAACTCCAGTTATTTACTCCCTATGGGGTTGGGGATGTATTTCGGTGGTAAAGCAGTAGCCTAGCATACCCAGGGGAGGCCCTGGTTCAATCCCTATCACCACTAAAAAGTAAAAGTAAAATAAAAATCCTTATAGACAGTTCTGAAGAGGAAATATTGTTGCAGATGAGGCTCAGAAAGGTGAGTTTACGACCAACCACCCCAAGGACAGCTGGGTTCTGACCCCTGTCATTGTCTTTGTCCTCTGTGGCCAATGGGCCTGACCCTCATCCGGTCTCCGGCTGCTGGAAGTTCTCATTGTGTGCTCCACGGTTCCCATCTATAAAGCGGGTCTATAGCGCTGCACAGCCACCCAAGGAGTGGTGCTGGGTGTAGCGAAGGACAGAATAGCTGCAAACTCTTGGTTTAGAAAGTGGAATGTCAGCAAGGCCTCCCTGTCCTGCTGGAGCTAGCACAGCCCTGCCTCCCTCCGGTGCGCGGTAATTACAGAGGTGAGTCGCACCCCCCAGGCCGAGCAGTGACTGGAACGTGCAGAATGCTAGCGTAAGGATCCTAAAACCCTGACGTTAGAATGACTCTGCTTGAGAAGTCTAGCTGCTTTGGAAATGCCTCCTGGGAAGCAGGGCAGGGTCTGGGTTAGGTCTGCAGTACAAGGCCCTGGAAGGCTGGCAGGATTAGTGGAGATAAGGCACAACTTTCACTTTGCAGATGAGCATAAAGCCTGGAGAGGGGAAGGACCGGGTCTGGGATTATACAGCAAGTCTGTCAGAGGCTAAGGCCTCCCTCCGACACCTCAGAGCCTAGCAACACCCGCCATGGCATTTCTGAGACCACCTGGCACAGGTGCCCCAGTGCGCCCTGTCTAATGTGTGGAGCAATGAGTAGACAAAGGTGCACGGTTTATGCTGTCGACGCTCGCCAACAAAGTTCTTCAACTTCTGCTCTCTCCTCCTAACCACCCACTGCTCTGGGTATCGGCAGCTTTTAGACCCACAGCCCTCTATGCGGACTGGGAGAGGAAGGGTGTCGTCTAGGGCTTCAGGGTTCAGGTCTTCGGAAAGCCCTTGCAGGGACAACCAGTGCAAGCCAGCACGTGTGCGCGGCAAGCAAAGCCGGGCTGGGGCGGGGCGAGGTCGGGCCGCGATGGGCGTGTCCGCGGGCGTTCCCGACTGGCTTCGCCCCGCCCCTGGACGTAGCCCCGGAGCGCGCGCCAGGAGCGGAGGGGAGGGGAGGAGCGCGCAGTTCGCGCGCCGCCCGGCCCGGCCCAAAGTTTTCCTGACGGAGTTTTGGAGGCGGCCGGACGAGCCATGGACGCGCTCAAGTCCGCCGGGCGGGCGCTGATCCGGAGTCCCAGCTTGGCCAAGCAGAGCTGGGGGGGCGGCGGCCGGCACCGCAGTGAGTGTGTGCCCGTCCGCCGGGCCGGGCGGGGGTCGGGCTGAGGCGCGCGGCCTCCCGGAGCGCCCGAGTCTAGCCAAATTGGCGGGGAGGCGGGGCCTGACCTCGCTCGTGTCCCGGACCTGCGAGGTTGGGGTCACCCGGGGTCAGGGCGTGCTCGCGCTGCCCGTGCCATGTGGGAGGGCAGAGCTCGGGAGGAGGCCGAGCCCAGGGTCCCCAGGTGCGGGCGGTGCCCTGGGAGTGGGTGCAGGTGGGGAGAGAGACTTGGCGACCCGGCTAGCTGGGCGGAGCGGGGCGAGAGCTCGCCGAGGGACGAGGAGTGGGTTTGGGGACTTGGGACGGCTTCTGAGCCCCAGCAGCGGCGCGCAGGAGCCCACTATCCCCAGCCCGCCCCTGTTCCTTTAAAGACCGGCGCGGGGGGTGGGAGGGAGGGCATCCGATAACTCCCAGGTATGAGCCCCGGAACGCAGGTACCTCCTGGTAAGGAGAAGGGGCCCGTCCTGGGCTGTCCGGGAGGTCGCACACCGGGGGTTTAGATCTTGCGTCCTCTCCCCTAACCACGTCCAGGTGGTGAGACTGGCGTTCTGGTTATTTTTGCAACTTGTTTTCTTTTGCGTCTTCCCCCTGGGCTCCCGAAGTCCCAGGGCGCTCTAGCAAACGGCAGACTCGCCGTCACCTCTCCCAGGGACGTCTGGGAGCGGGCTCACCCGGCCCCCCTCCTGTTACCCCTGTCTCAGGTTACTCTCCCGGAGCCGGTCACCTGGCACCTTCCCCTGAGGCCTGCAGAACCTAGGCCAGGAAGTCCTGGGGTCTGTGAAACTAAGCACAGGATTGCAGCAAACCCTCACCCCTGCTGCCACCCACCTGGGGCTACAGCCTCGGCCCCCCACCTCAGGAAACAATGCAGTCACCCCACCCTACCCCCTTGTCTTCCAGGGTTCCACCAGGGGAGCCCGAGTTCGCTGGTCCCAGGAGCGCCAGCGTGTCTGGGCTGAGGAAGCCCGCCCTGCCCCTCCTCTTGCCCCAGTCTGCTGTTCCCTCTGTGGCTTCCTCCTAGCCCAGACTGGCACTGGGAACCCAACTGGTGTCTGCTTGTTGGGGTGGGATCAGAGGCCCGCTAGAGCCAGGCCAAGCATACATCAAGTTCCACAACTTACCAGCTCCCCAAATCATTCCCTTAAAAAATTCGCAGGGTGTGACCAGGACCGAGAATGATTGACTCCCCCAATGGAGGAACCCCACCATGGTCTGTGGGGCCAAGGGAGAGAGGGCCCCAGGGAAGTGGTTGTGAAAGGGAGGGAGCCCAAAGGAACCTCTGGATATGGGGAGGGGCAAGAGAGCCACTTTGAAAGTCCGAGCATGCAGCAGTGAGGATTGAGGATTATGATACTTACATGGCAGGGATGTTAAGAGTGTTGATAGTAATGTCCCCTCCTCATTGGTGGTTTCCTTTCCCCACTCCCTGTCCTTCTGCCTGTGGACCTTCAACTTGATTCTTACTATGGTGGACCAGCTTTTGAGGGCTAAGCCTGTCAATACCTTGGAGAAAAGCAGAGGAGCACCTCTGTTTCTCTCCCAGCTTCCAGAAGTCCAGAGCCTTCTCTACCTTGAATAGGCTATTCCAGTTTATAGTTCTTGAAGCACAATTCTCTATCTGTAAGTTGCAAATAAGTGTAGAAACTACCTCAGACTTTTGTATGGTGGTTAAATCAGTGCATTTTGCCAGGCAGAGGGGAAGACTTCAATAAATGGTAACTACTTGCTTAAAAAAAAAATAGGATCATGCTGTTAGCTCAGGCTGGCCTTGAACTTGCGGTAGTTCTCCTAATGCTGGGACTACAGGCATGTGTCACCGATGCCCTGACTACTGCTTTTGTCATTGTGGGTGTTTTGCTTTTTGTCTTTTTGATACAAGGACACACTATGCAGTTCAGGTTGGCCTTCAACTCACTTTATAGCCCCTGCTGGCCTTGAACTTGAAGCAGTCCTCCTTCAGCCTTCCAAATGCTGGGATTACTGGTGTGCTCCACACTCAGTTGTCATTGTGTTTTATAAAGTAGGTTTTGGTTTTTTTTTTTTTTTTCCTATTACCGCTTTGCTCATGTGAGGTGACAAAATGAGATTCTTATCGAAGATCCATTTTAGAGATAAAGGACCTGGGTTTGGGGAGATGGGGACACAGGTCCCACAAGAGTTACCAAGAGGTAGATCTTACAATTCCTGACTTGGGGACTCTGCTCAAGAGAAGAACTTGGAGTAAACCACAAACCAGCTTGGGCTGGTAGCATCTGAAGACAACTGAGGCAGGCCATGGGATGTGTGTGGGTTGGAGGTTGAGGCACCCTTGTTTGGAATTGTGACCCAGCCACGCACTGATGTGAGGCCTGTGGTTGAGTTCTGAGGCAAAACTGACACAGAGGAATTAAGATTAGGGTTGATCCCTGATGCCCGCTGTGACCTGCTCCTCACCTCTCAAATAGGATTAGCATGGTCACTGTTTTTGTTTATGGAGAAACTGAAGCCAGAGAAGGGTTGCAGCTTGGCTGAGGTCACACAGCAAAGCCAGCACCCCAGGCTTGTTTGTGCTGAGCCTCAGGCCTCCTCTCAGTTGTCCTGACCTTGAAAGATGGTTCTCTCCCTCAGATGGTTCGCTCCCTCTCCCATGTACAGCTTTTTTCCCCTCTTGCAAACCATAAATATTTTATCTCAGCCCCTGGAGAAAGGGTTTTCCTTTCATCCAGCTGCTTGGAAGGGTGGTTTGCCCTGGACCTCTAGTATCTTTCTTTTCACAGATACTGGCATCACTTTGACCCTTGGGCTCCTTTATGGTTTTGTCAATGCATTAGAATCCAAAGAATAAGGATAAAGAAAAGGAGCAGTAAAACTAGTGCCTGGTAGGAGATGAGGGAGGGATCTTAATTTACTTGCAATGAGATAGTATAAATATTATATGTAAACAGCCAGGCTGTAATACTTACCGAGCATTGACTACATATCAGGCACTAGTACAGGTGTTGGGGAATCTGGGAACTAAGTTGAGTGTCTTCTGAAAGAACTCGGAGGAGTCAGAAAAAACTCAGGGCTATGGGTTAATAGTATGGTCAGGAACAGCCGTAATGCTATGCACAAAAGTAAAATGGGTCAGGGAACAGTTTCTTTAGCTAAGATGGTGTCTGTATTTGGGTTCTTCTAAAAGTAGTCACTGAGCCAGGGATCTGAGTGCAAGTTATTTATTTGGAAAGAGATACCAGAAAATACTAGGACAAGTGAGAAGGGAAAAGAATCCAAAAAAGTGGACTTTAGAAAGGGAATGGCAGGGCCAGGGAGATGGCTCAGTAGAATAAGCGCTTCCCTGGCAAGCGCGAGGGTCTGAGTTCAATACCCAGTCTCCCCTCCCCCCCAAAAAAAGAAAGGGAATGGCTACTGTGGGCTACCAAAAGTTAATCCGAGGGTGAACTCTGCTGCTCGGGGTGCTCCCTTTGAGAAGCAGTGACTGGCAGTCTTGACTGAATGGGCAGGGTGGCAGATGTTGGCAATCCTGTGGTATGGAAGTGAGGATGTGGTGCCCACAGAGCTGAGGATTGGCTCCTGACAGCACCACCTAAGAAGGTGACTGTAGTTAACAGATAAATCAAAGGAAGGAAGAATTTGGGATATTTACCTGGAAGCTAAGGCTTTATTTTCACAGGTCTAGTGGCAAAGAGAGGAGATGAGGTTTGAGTCAGAGGTCACTCACTGCCCATTGAGGGTCAGATAGATGCTCCTTTCAGGCAGAGGGTGCCTTCTTCACATTGGGAAGGGGTTTGATGGGCTGCAGGAATGAGTGTGGGATTTGAGTCCCAGTGTTGTCATTTATGAGCCGTGGTCACACCCTACTGAGTGGTTTTATCTGTGAAACGGGAAAGCTGATGTATCCTTGACTCTTGTCATGAAACACTCATGGAGACATTAAAGCACTTGTACTTGACCACTGGTAGTGACAGTAGCATATACTTAAGCTGTTCTTGGCGTGGACCAGATGTTTTTGTATGTATGCAGGAGCTCATTTCATCCTGATGGCAACCCCATGCGGTAGGTACGGTTATTGTCCCTATTTTGTTTGTCTGTTAGTTTTTGGAGACAGGGTCTTACTATGTAATCTAGGCTGGCCTCCAATTTGTGATCCTCCTGCTTAAGTCTCCTGAGTGCTGGAATTACAGGCATGCACCACCACACCCAGCTTATTTTCCCTGTCTCAAAGTAAGGAAACTGCAACCTAGGGAGATTGAGTAGCTATAAACCCCCAATTCCCCCAGAGCCCATTATTTTCTCTTATAATGTATGTAGGTGCTTAGAAAATGTTAGTTGCTGTGATGGTCATTTTAAAAATTGTTTTCTTTTGATAATAATCTCAATAGCTTTAACTTCTGAAAGTTAAAGCTATCTGAAATTTGTCTAAGACTTTTTACATCTAGAAGTTTCTGAGGATGCTTCTGAAGACTGTCAAATTGATTATTCCAGAAAAACAGCTGCTCCCCAGGCAGGGCAGAGCTTGAGTCCCTACCTGAGAGATTGTCACTCTGTAGCCTCTGGGTTGCAGCCTGCCCTGGGAGCTAGGCTAGGGCCCTGCTCAGAGACTGCATTGGCCCATGGATTTTGTTGCAGCTCTGATTTTTCAGATGCCAGCTGGCCGGGTTTCCTGGAGTGGCAGAGGAACACAGGGCTGACCTGCCCAGCCCTAACTCCTTACTAGTTAGGAGGTACATGGTTATAGAAGTTAGACTGGGCATATGTTCTGTCCGTGGTTAACTTCAGTAGCAGGTCATCTGTAAAATTGCATGGTTGAAATAGCACAGTCATTACCCACCCCAGGGCCAAAAATAACTGGGACCGGAACAAGGCTATAGAATCAGCCTTGTATTTGCCTGGGGGCCTCTGGTTGTTCCCCTTGAAGCCTGGGGTTCTTGCTAGGAGGGAGATGTAGCCTCCACCCTCGAGCTAGAGTGCAGACTGGCTGCATCCTGTTTGAGGTGGCTGGGTGGTAAACAGGACAGGGTAGCAGGAAACCTCACGTGTCCGTCTGTACTGAGGGGGCCCTGTGCTGGTTCCTGAGGAGAGGTTGTAAGCACACTACAGTGAAGAGTGAGTCAGGAGCACCGGGGAGGAGTCTTCCCTGGAGAACAGAAGCATCGTGGTGGGCACTGGGAACATTGGATGCAGGGATGCAGGTCAAGTGAGAAGCAGGACAAGACTGGACAGCCTGTCCCACAGGAGTGCTCCTTGTACCACTTCCTGCAGAGGCAGACATGGATAGTAAGTCCAGGAAGGGGCAAACAGCCGAGGAGGCAGCTGCTTTGGGACAGCCTGGGGCGGAAGAAGAGACTCATGTTCAATAAAGGTACTGTGATGGGCCAGGGAGATGGCTCAGTAGAGTAAGTGCTTACCTGGCAAGTGCAAGGGCCTGAGTTCAATCCCTGGTTCTGCCAAAAAAAAAGGTCGTAAGGTAGGGCTTTGAAAGACATCCGATGACTGCAGAGCTTTCAACAATCAGAGCTGAGAAAAAAAAAAAAAAAAAAAAAAGGTACTGTGATGTATCTGCCCCTTCATGAGTGCATTTCATTTCATTATCTCACTGTATTGTCTTACCTGAGAATCATAACAGCCCAGAGATGTAAGGGTTGTTGTCTTCCCATTTATAGATGAGAAAAGTGAGGCTTAAGGGAGATAATTAACTCAGAAAAGTCAGAAGTGGGGTACTAGGATTAAGGCCCTTGCTCTTAACCACTGGACTATCCTCCCTCATAGAAGGGTTTCTGGAGGAGCTGGTTATATGAGGTTTTGATAAGCAAAGGGGAAGAGTATTTTGGATAGAATATTTGAGAAAAAGCTCTAAAGCTGAAACTAAATGTCCCATTATGAGGAGGAAGTTCTACAGAAGATGGAGAGAAAGAAGACCTGTGGGAGAGGAGCTGGAGGTCTCCAGCAGTCACTGCAGGGATTGCCTGTAGTAGACTGGGATCCCACCCCTCTGACTTGCAGTGACCTTCCATAGGATGCATCTCTCTCTGGACCTCCTTTCAACTGTCAGGTGAGGGGCTGGAATAGAGGGTCTCTGAGGCTGATGGACAGTTTTTAGTCTACAAGGAAGCAGTAGAACAGGGGAAAGGTCAGTCCAGTGAAGGAAAAATGCAGAAAAATGCTAAGTATTTCAGAGGTCAAGGAGGACAGGGGAATGTTTTGACAGCAAAGCGATCACCAGTGACCTTGGCAGGCTTTGGTTCTTTGGAATGGAGGGAGAGGAAGTGGTTCTGGAAAGAGGCCAGAAGTGGCTGATCCAAAGGAAATGGGAGAGTAGGCCATGAAAACGGGAAGGCAGGCTGTTTGCCATAGAGTAGGAATGGGTATGGAGGTGAACAAGGCCACCTCTGATTGGTCTGGCCTGCCTGAAGCCTTATGTTAGAAATAGAGGGAAGTGGAGCTACAGTGTTATCTGAGTCTGCCAAGGCCACAGGCAGTGGCCATGGCAGCAGTTTATTTGGCTAGATGGGTACCGGATTGGGAGTGGTGGTCTGGGTATCCTGGCTCACACTGAGGCAGCTTTCAGTTTTTGGAAAACCCAATTCCAGTTGTAGGGCTGTAGCTCCAGTTCCCAGAAACTCTTCCCTGACACTTGGCTAGAATTAAGGTATTTTGCCTCTAGGTTAAGTAGTGTGCCATCAGTCAGAAGCTTGGACTTTGTATTTTTTGTCTTTTTGAGACAGGGTCTCACTGTGCAGTTCGCTGGCCTTGAACTAACTCACTTTGTAGTCCAGGCTGGCCTTGAACTCGCATTGATCTGATCCTCCTGCCTCGACCTCTTGAGTGTTGGGATTACAGGCATGCGCCACCATGCCTGGCTGAACTTGGACTTTATAGAGTCAGAGTCTTTTGAGTCTCAGTTTCGTGTGTAATATGGAACTGAAAAAAATGTCTGTTTACAAGGTAGTGTGTTTGAAGTGATGGTAGTAGCTAATGCTTTATTGTTGGGTCTTTGTTCCTTGGTAGCTCTGATTTGCCCCTATCATGGTGCTGTTCGCTTGGTTTCTTTGAGAAAAGTGCCTGTGTCTGATTTGCTCTGGAGCCTCTCATCTGCTACTGGACCAGGGACACCTCAGGGACTTTCTGTGTTTTGGAGGAGCAAATGGAAGGGGATTATGGTGGGTGGGACAGAGAATAGGGTTGCTTCAAGCTTGAGAGTCATCTCACTGGGGGAAAAGCCTATGTATGAAGGCTAAAGGGCAGTGTCCTGGCCCTGAGCTGGAATGAGGTTAAGTCATTCCTTTATTCAGGTCATAGATGACCAGTCAGCAAGTCCCTCCTTACTTGGATCTCAAGGGGAAGATAACACCCATAGTTTCCTGTATGAATCCCACCCCCACCCTGATACCCCCACTGTGTGTGCATGAGTACATATATGCAAGCATGCACGCATGATGCGTGGTATGTGTGTGTCTGTCTCAGAACTCAGTGGATTGTGTGGCTCAATGCAAATCCAGAAATTGAGTGTATAGGTCCATCCAGGCTGTGGAGGAAGGAGATAGAGCTCAGGGAGTCTGAGGCTGTGTGATAGGAGGTAGGAGGGGCAGCAGGGCCCCAGATTGCATAGGGGACCTACTGGTACCCCCTGGACCTTGGATTCTAACCAAGAAACCCACAACCCTGTCAGGGCCTTAGTTGCAGTGGGCCTGTGATGCCTACTTCTATATTAGCTTCTTGTAGCATTTCTTTTTTTTTTTTTTTTTTTAGATGAGGTCTCAGTATGCATTGAGGACTGTGTAGCCCAAGCTGTTCTCAAACTCACAATGATCCTCCTGCCTCAGCCTCCCAAGTGCTGGGATTACAGGTGTGCACCACCATGCCTGGCCTCCTCTCAGGGTATGGTCTAGGGCAGCAGACCCTGTTCATCTCTCTGGTAGTCCCTGACAGCTGACCCCTGCCTGGGTCCTCCGCTGTCCTTAACAGGATTGCAGGTGTGCTGCCCAGCTGTTTTCTCACCTATGACATGGGTGCAGTCACAGTGAGTACCTCCTACAGGTGCTGTAGCTGTGAGGGTGATAAGGACAGCAGGCCCATACAGGGAGTGTGAGCCATGCATTTGTGCTGGGACCAGGGCCTGCGGGGACCTGAAGCCCATCCCTGCTGCTCTGCCCTGTTATTTCCTTCTGTGTGGCAGGGTCCGTCTGGGGCTCAGCTAAAAGGAGGGACCCTTGGGATGGTCAGGCCCACAGTGAGAGTCACACCTCCATCATGTCTCTCTGCCCTGTTCTATGTGAGAGGTTCTGGTGGGAGCCTCTTCCCTCATCTCCCAACCGTCCTCACAGTAGTGGTGGTAAGGACTTCTCAGAGGACCTTCCCATTGGTCCTGCTCTCTGCCCTTGGTGCAGCCCAGAGGGACAGCAGTTTTGGTCTCTGTCTTTTCTCTCATTGGTGGGACGAAATACCTAACACTGAAAATTAAGGAAGAAAAGGTTTATTTAGCTCACAGTTAGTGGAAGTTTCAGCCATATTCAGCTAGCTCCAAGGCAGAGTGGCACATGACAGAGGGCAGCTGTTCATGGTGGCGGAAAATAGTAGATACCAAAGGGAGGAGCAGAGGCTGCAGCATCTTCCCCAGGGTGGGTATAGCACACACGTATAATCCTAGCAGCACTTACACCAAAAGTTCCAGCATTGGATCATGAATTGATCACAAACTCTAGAAGTCTACCCCATGACTACATGAGGCGTTGGGGGGACAATTAGACACAAACCATAACGGTCTCAAAGGGGTCAGAGGACTTCCCTGAGGCTAGAGGGAGGGCACAGGGAGCAGAGCTTAGACACTAACCCAGGGCTACTAAGTTGATAGGACATCCTTGGAGAAATCCTCTTCTCCTTCCCCATTGATCCTTGCTTACCCCACCCCCTCTCCTTGGGCTGTTGTCACTTTACTGGTCCTTTTCTCCAGTCAGTTATGTCTCTGGATATGCAGGTAGAATAAACATTGTTGGCTCAGGCCATGACAACTGATCCGGTGACTGTAACTCTACTTGCTTTATGTGGCTTTTGTTTCTCTGGGCCTCAGTTTCCTGATCTGTATAATGGGACAGTACTCAATTGACAGGGTTACAGTAAGGAGTCAGTAAGGAAGTGGGCTGATATTCTCTGGGCAGTTAATGTTCAAGTTGAGTTTGGGCTTGGGACTTGAAACATGGCCAGGTCTTGGCTCTGGGACTGCTTGGTTCCTGCACTTGGTTATTGACCTGGCCTCCCTGAACTTGTATCTGTTTGCAGTGGGTGTGATACAAAGTCTACTTTGTGGGTTCTCCTGAAAATTAACAAGGACATTTTGTGTAAAGCTTCTTATCCAGCACTTGGTATGTTCTAAAAAAACGTTAGTTCTATATTAATACTTAAAACAATGATGGGGAACCTCAGAGCCCCTTGCCAGGTTTTCCAAGGACTGGTGAGAACTAGTGGGCCTTCAAGGCAGGGTTGAGGGTCACTGTGTCTCCCCTGCCCCCAGAGCTACCCGAGAACTGGACGGACACTCGAGAGACACTGCTCGAGGGCATGCTCTTCACCCTCAAGTACCTGGGCATGACCCTGGTGGAGCAGCCCAAGGGTGAGGAGCTGTCAGCTGCTGCTGTCAAGAGGATTGTGGCCACGGTGAGTGCCCTGCCAGGAAAAGGTGGGAGCCACAGGTGGGGGCTGCCTTCTTTCTGGGCTGCCTCTCACCCCTAGCTTGTCTTCCCTGTGAGATGGGACTGAACCTGCCCTGCCCTTGAGTCTCCCTCATTTGGCTCAGAGCTTTGCTGGAATTAAATGGTCAGGGCCGGTGGCCACTGCTGCCTCATCTGTAGCCTAGGCTCTCTCCATAAGTGTTAGGGATACATTGGCACCAGGGAGACCGAGGAGGTTGTTTACTCAGTCACGTTGCCAGGCACATGTGGAACAGTGTAGCTCACCAGGGACCAGACCACCCCAGCCCCAGTTGTGAGTGAACTTAGGCCCATTGAATCCATCCCCATGGTGCCTTTGACCTCGGGTGCTGGTCCCCTGAGTAGTCCACAAGGGTGGAGTCATCCTGCTGAGTTGTGTCAGCTTCCCAGCTGTGTGTTCCTGGGCAAGTCCTTTAGTCTCTGCATTCACTTCCCCTTGTGAGAGGGAAGATGGGGGTCCAGGGCTTTCAGACAGCGGTTGTCTTTTATTTCAGGAGGTGCTTGTCAAGTGTCCTTCCCATGGCATCTGCCAGACCCTTGAGCTAAGGCTCACACAAGCCCCATGTCTGGTGTGTGGAGTAGCTAGGTGGAGCCTAGGGGGTGGATTGCAAGAAAGTCAGGCTCATCTTAACCCCTTTCTGCCCCAGGCCAAGGCCAGTGGGAAGAAGCTGCAGAAGGTGACCCTGAAGGTGTCACCTCGGGGAATTATCCTGACCGACCACCTCACCAACCAGCTCATTGAGAATGTGTCCATTTACAGGTATGCTTGGCACGGGGTGGTCTGCATCACTCTGACAGTGGTGCATGGAGTGTCCCATCTCACGTGCTAGTGTACAGCACAGTTCACAGAGCGCACTCAGTGAAGTGGTACTTGCTGTCCTCATCACCTGTTGTAACAAGTAGCTGAAGCCTATCTGAGCCCGGCTTCAGCTATGTCCTATGTGCTCCCAGTGTGTCCCCTGCATGCTGCTGAGTCACTGTAGGAGCAGACAGCTGCAGAGTCATTGCCTCGTCTTTTCACTGAATGCAGCAGCCCAGCCCTAGACGTCTGGCTAGGCATAGCAGAGGGCCCCACCCAGGGTCTGGAACCAGAGGGTAGATAGTCTTGTCCAGTGAGCCCCGTGGTCCTGGTGGGCTTTAGAGCCCCAGTCTACTCCCACATCTCTCTTTGCCAGTCAGTTTTAGTGTTTCAGAACTGGAAGAGACATCTCAGACCCATTTTATAGATAGTGAAGCTGAGAGAATGGGGGAGGGAATGACAACATTGAAGTAGTGGCTGAACAGACCTGGGCACCCAGGTGGGAGCTCTGCCCAGCAGGACCATTTCTCCAGGAAACTTTCCACTTGTTTTTTTTTTTTTTTTTTCCAGGAAGGTGGCTCAGCTTGAGCAGAAGCAGAAGCACAGGCTAGTAGTGGGGGTTGGGGGCCAAAGGGCAGCCCCCTCCCCCAGTGTGTGTGCATTGGGAGGTGGCTTCAGAGTTTTGGGCTGTGCCTTTCTATTACCTTCATGCATCTACCTGCCCACTTTTTTTTTTTTTTTTTTTCGGAACTGCAGATTGAACTCAGGCCCTTGCGCTTGCCAGGGAAGCGCTTATTCCACTGAGCCATCTCCCCCGCCCTACCTGCCTGCTTTTAACCAACATTTCCAGGTACCTACTCTGCTGACATCTGTGCCAGATGAGGACTCTGACTCAACCCCTGCCCTCCTGAAGCTTCCTATCTGGGAGAGGACAGAGAGAAGGAAAGGAGATAGAGTATATCCCAAGAGGGCAAAGGAGGAGGAACAGGATTATGGAGCTAGGACTTGAAATCACCCATGAGATTCCAGAAGCTAGAGTCATCAGCCCACTGCCCCTGAGGGTCTGAGCTGACTGGGTGGGGGGAAGCAGGGCACCACTCTGCCTAGTGCTGCTCTTCACCTTACCTGGCCCTGCCAGAGACTAGAGGAGACCCAGGACCATCTCCCAGGCTGACTGAGCTGCTGAGTCAGCCCCCCTGGAACTATGGCCAGGGTGAAGTGCTGCACTGGGAATGTGTGACAGTAATCCAACCAGCAGCCCCAGTGGGCTCTGGGGAGACATGGCCACTCCCTCTGTCAGAGAACTTCCTGCCCTGTTCACTCACAGCCCCAGGTGCCCCAGCCTGCAGTCTCTCACACCTCATGACCAGGGGTGGAACTTCTCAGCAGACTCGCCCCTTACTGGATGCCACAGCTGTAACTGTGTCACCTGAATAGCACCACAGAATACCCCAGGTGAGAGAGGGGTGCCATGTCTCCAGCTGCCCCCCTCTCCTCCCAGAGGATTCAGTCTGTTACCTAAACATCCTGCGCCCTTGGCACCAGTCCATCAGATTCTGCTCTTCTTCAAGCCCCAGCAAGGTGCCACCTGCCCTGGAAGCCTTCCTAAGGTTCTACCTGCCTGGCCAAGGTTCTTCTCCCATAGATGGCCCAGGATGTGAGGCCTGGAGGCCAAGGCCCGATCTAAAGTCTCACCATCGTGGAGAGGAGACAACAGGCTCTCTAGGACCTTCCAGATGTGATCAGGCTCTGTGCCAGAGGTGTTGACACCTGCCACTTGCCTTTCAGGATCTCCTACTGCACAGCAGACAAGATGCACGACAAGGTGTTTGCTTACATCGCCCAGAGCCAGCACAGTGAGAATCTCGAGTGCCACGCTTTCCTCTGCACCAAGCGGAAAATGGTGAGCAGGGAGGGTGGGACTGCTCTCAGGGGCTTCTCTGGTGTGGTAGGCAAGACCAGAAGCTACAGTCACTTAAAAAGGATGAAAACCCATGGGACTCTCAAGTGTGTGCTGAGAGCTGGGCATGCAGAGTAGGACTACAGTCAGATGGTCACCCAGCTGGGCAGCCTAGTTGTAGGCAGTGACTAGGCTGTATCCCCAGGAAGGGCTTGGGTCCCTTCCCCTCTGTAGATTGCTTTGCTGGATATGAAATGATTTTGGATCTCCTGTTGCTCCTATGGTCGGGGGGGAATATGCTTTGTAAGTATTCATCCTGATAAATAGGAGATCAAAGTAACCCTGGCTAAAAAACAAAGGCCAGACAGAGCTCACAAGGGACTAGACTTGCTGTGTGTATTAGCTTTCCTGTCTCTAGGACAAAAGTACCTGACACCTGCACCTTCAAGGAGGAGAGGTTTATTTTGGCAAACAGTTTGAGAGGGTTTAGTTCATGGATGGCTGCCTCCAAGGCAGGAACATCCTGGTAGAAGGGCCTAGTGGAGCTGAGCTGCTAGCTTCGTAGGGACTGGAAAGTAGAGCCCTGGAAAAGAATGCCAGAGAGATGCACTGTCCAAAAGATGCTGGGCCCCACCTCCTAACAGTACCTTGAAGTTATAAATAGCAGCAGGTGATTCTGCTGATGACTGTAGTGGCCCCTGATCCAACAGTCTCTTAATCCAGTGAAGTTCATAAGATTAACTGCAGACTGACTGGAGCAAAGAGGCAAATGGCTATGTTTGATACGTTTACGGACCCATTCCATTGCTAGGCTCTGAGGCATGTCATGTTTAATCCTTATAATTATGCAAGGTGGAAACTTATGATCTCTAGTGGCTTTCTTTAAAATACTTTCATTTATAATGAAACAGACTCCCAGCAATGCAGCTGTCTTGCTGAAGATGACATAATCATTGAGACCAGTGAGTCTTTTAGCCCACAATCCTCACATCTACACAACAAATTGCCAAGAGTTTTCTGTCACATTTTTGGGCCACTTCTTGATCACATCTAGCTGGTTTGAGTGAATGAAAGACCTTGAAGGTCTCTGGTGTCTTGCCTGAATTTGGGGACAAGGAGCTGGAGTGGATCAGCCTTTGGCATTGACACTTTAGTTTCTGAGGCCCTTGAGATCTGAGCATCTTCTGTGTAAGGAGGTTCTTGACATCTATTGATTTGGTATCACCATCTATTAACCTCTGTTAACAGCTCAGAGCCAGGTCCCAATGCCCAGCATTCTTGGGAGACATAGAGACAATATCCTGTCCCCTTCTCTGTCAACATCAAAAACACTGTCACTGGGGAGCCCAGGCTTTTTGCTTTAAATGTTGTATAAGTTTCCTATGCCCGCCATAGCAGATGTTCACAAATTTAGTGGCTTAAAACAACACAAATATATTCTCATAATTCTAGGGATCAGAAGTCTAAAATAGGTCAGTGGGGTTGTGTTTCTCCTGGAGGCTCCAGGGGAGCATCATTTCTTCACCTTTCCTACTTTCTAGAGACCCCTGCATTCCACCTACTCGTAGTCTCTCCATCCTCTATCTTCAAAGCCAGCAGAGTAGCATCTGCCAATCTTGCTGATGTTTTTAAATTGCTGTTCCTCTTTCTGACTCTTGATTCCTGTCAAGGCCCCTGTGATGACCTTGGGCCTATTGGGTAATCCAAGATAATCTCCCCACCTTAAGATTATTCTTGGGGGCTGGCGAGATAGCTCAGTGGTCTAAAGCACCTGCTTAGGCAAGCATGCAGGGACCTCGGTTCAATCCCCAGCGCCACATGCCATGCCAGCCCCGCCCCCAGGGTGGGCTGAGCTGACCATTAAATAAATAAAGGAAACAAAAAAAGAGTAAAAAGCCTAACTCTTAAAAAAAAAAAAAAAAAAAAGATTATTCTTAACTTAATTCTATTTAAAACCCTTTTACTACGTAGGGTGACATACACAGATTGCAGGAATTCAGAAGTGGGTATCTGTGGGGGCCACAATTCATCCTACCACAGGAACTGCCAAAGGGTCGCTGTAGGAAGAGCCACACCAGTTCACAGCTGATGTGCTGTGTAGTCTTGGCTAAGATCCTGCCCTTCTTCAGCCTCCTTGCCTACCACCAGAATGACGTCCAGCATTGCTCCAAAGGGCCTCTGTTTGTTTTGTACCCCTCGTTTCTTTCCTGTAGATTCCATGTCACTGGCCTTTCCTCCAGAGTCTTGTGATATCACAGAGCCCTGCACTACCCTATCTTTTCCCATCACAAGCTTGTTCCCACAGTTGGTTACCCTTGGAATTATCTTCTATGAGGATAGGGACTTAAAACATAAAAGCTCATTGTGTCCCCATTGTTCTCTCTTCTTTCCTACCAAAAAGGAGCAAGTGATGGGCAGGGCAGGGTGGCAGGCCTCCGCTTTTGCTCAGTGTGGACCTGGGTGGAGGGTGCTCCCAGATACAGTGATTTCCTTTCCATGGGGGTTCTGGGAGTAAGAGAGAGGGTTGGGCCAGGATTCAGATAGGCTTCTATGAAATCAGCTTGCCCCCAGGATAGAGAGCAATTGCCAAGGAAGACAGTACTTGGCCACTGGTATCAGGGCAGAGCGCCTGCTGAACACCCAGAAGAGTCTTCCTGTCTGGGATCAGGGCTGATTGGCCGGACTATGCCTTGTACTTCTTTCTTTGTGCCACTCAGCCTCCCCCTGCAGGGAGCCCTGGGAGAGTCTTCTCTGAGAGAGAGACCAGCTCAGGGTGGTGTCAGTCCATGAAGACCTTAGCTCAGCCCAGGCTGGAAGCATGAAGGCCTCATGGCCTGGTCTTCTAAGGAACGGGAACATATTCTGGACTCTGCAGGATTTCTAAGGGGGAGGCAGAGCTAAGATGGGCATCTTGGGCTCTGTACTGATCAGCTGGCAGCTGCCTCCACAGACACATGGTGTCACTTGACCTGGGCTAAACCCTACAGTGGGCACTGAGGACCCATGGGACAAGTCCATGGAAATCCAAGGGCCCGGCTTTGGTTAAGTCGTTCTGTCTACTGGAGGTCAGGAGGGTCCCCAGAGACAGAGGCTTAGAAGGATGAGTAGTGAGTAGGGATTGGTCAGGCTGAGAGGAGATGGGTGGCACATTAAGTGCTCACCAGTGTGGGAATTGCAAGTGCAAAGGCACACTATGGAGAGGCTATTGAGGTCTCTTGGCTGGTGGAGAGCAAGGATGAGGGAGCCTGCAGCAGGGTTCGAGTGACATAGCCCTTACTCTGCATCTCCATCCTGCACCTCCTCAGTGGGGTATCTGAATGAGCAAGGAGTTTAGAGAAAAGAAGGGCTCCTTCCTGCCCAGGAAGGCATAGCCCCATGTTGGGGCCGCACAGCCAGAAGTCTCCCTTCTCTGGTCCTGTTATGCACAGTCAGAAGTGTCCCTACAAGGAAACATTTCCAGCTGCCTAGGAGGGAGTCCTCTGAGGGCACTCAAGCCTGTGGGCCTGGAAGTGGAGGAGCGAAAGGTTGCTGCACAGGTGCAGGGCCTAGGTAAGCCCATTTCCACCCTGCCTGAGGGGTGTTACTATACCCCAAGTGGCTGCCACATCCTGGATTAATCCTCATGCATAGATTATATTTCTGGACATCAGGGCTGCTAGGGGAATAGGGCCGATTGGGTTGAGTAGGTGGCCCCCTTTGAAGGGATAACTCTGGTTAGTGGGAACAAGGGTAAGACATGGAAGAGTGGACTGAGTGGAAACTAGTCAGGGTGACCGACAGACCCACCACCAGAGGCACGCAGGGAAGGGCTATGTGCTGGCCTGGGCAGCCCAAAGTCTTCTCGAAGCAGATCCAGCAGTTCTTCCTTCTGATGTTGCTTCAGATTCTTGCAGCCTCCCGGAAGTGGGCCCTTCCCCAGCCCTAGCCCCCAGTCCCCGTCCAGGCTGAGCCTTACCACCTGCACACATCCACATCTCCAGCTACATTTGGCTTAACTTACAGCTTGGAACATCAGGACAAAGGGGTGGGGAATGTATGTAAATAAACTGGCAGATTTATGCAAAAACAGTATAAACTTTCCCCCCAGGTTTCCTGCAGGCAAGAATAATGTTTTTCCATATTCCGCCACATTGGGTGACCAGCCCTTGCTTGGGTATAGAGTGATCTGACTTAGGCCGATAATTAGCCCATATTTTTAGTTCATGGGCAATTCTCAATGGTAACTGGGTCTATTAAACTTGATTCAGATGTGACAGCTTAAATTGTAAACAGCTGTGAAGAGTTTCATACTTAATTACCATATTTAAGTTTTGCCATAAAGCACCCGTACTTCCATCAAAAATGTAAATGACGGAGACATTCAAATGAGATTTTATACTTCGTGAAGTTTAATTGGCACAGATCACTCAGCTTGTTTAAAAATTTTTTTAGAAAAGTTTTTTGGAAGGCAGTGGCCGTGGATTCATTTCTCAATTAAATTGTGTTGTCTGGTGGAGGGCAGGGAATGGGGCCAAGGCTGGGTAGGCCTGAACTTTAGCATTTGAGAGTCTTACATTCTGCTCTTACCCAGGGCTTTCAGAAGGAAGCTTGGCAATGCTGCCAGCATCAGCTATTGCTCCAAGCTCTGTGGCTTCCACTCCCAGAGCTGAGAAGGTTAACCCTGGAGTCACAGAGAGCAGGCTGTAGGGATGAAGGTGGCCTGGGAGAACTGGGCTGGCACGAAGCTTCATTGACAGATACAGTTCAGCCAGCATTGTTGCCACCATTGAGGGGCTGCCCATATTCTGGGAGCATACAGAGAGATGCATGATGCCAGCAGGGGAGAAGTGGTATTTGAGAGGATTTAAATGGATGGATAGCGGGGCCGGGGAGATGGCTCAGTAGGATAAGCGCTTGAATGGCAAACGCAAGGATCTGAGTTCAATCCCCTGTTCCGCAAAAAAATAAAATAAAACAAATGGATGGATAGGATGAGGTGGGGCAAAACCCAGTGTGTGTGGAGTGGGTGTTGGTTTTGACACTGAATAATTTTGATCCCTATACTCATTGACATCTTTCTCCTGCTCAGGAAATGTGTCAGCTGGCTCCTCCCTTGCTGAACTCCAGTACCAGTTCCTCTGACCATGCATATCCCTAGTCTTTCTTTCCCCTCTCTGGCTATGACTTATTCAGGCAGAGGATGGGCCCTTCCAACCCTTCTGGGCTCTTCTGTTCACCAATTCCAAGGGTTCAGGAAGTGTAAGAAGTCCTCAGGTAATTAGGGAGGACTCCTCTGAGAAAGTAAGCCTCACAGTTGATTCAGGGAAGCCCAAAGTGGAAGGAAAAAAGTAGAGGTGAATGAATAGCCATTGAGGGGATGAATGAGGATGGGAATTTACCTGGGCTAGAGGCCCAACTGCCTCTCCAGGATTGAGCTGCTAAACCCCAGGCTGCTTTGGTGACATGGGAAGGGCCAGCTCTTCGTCCTCCACGGTTGCAGTTGACCCCTAGGCGCTGCTCCGGGAAAGTCTGGAGCCCTGGCTGGACTCCCCAGCCTTCCAGTTTAGACTTGCACTTCTCTGGCTGAAACACACCCCTCTCACCCCTACTTCCTGTTTTTTAGGCTCAGGCTGTCACCCTTACTGTGGCCCAGGCCTTCAAAGTTGCTTTTGAGTTCTGGCAGGCAGCCAAGGAAGGTGAGTATGATCAATATCATGGGTGGGGTAGGGGCTGAGGCAGCAGATAAAGCCTGGAGTCAGACAGACTGACTCCCACCCAGCTTTTCTCCTATCCAGCTTGTGATTTTGAATAGGTCTTCTCACCTGAGTCTCAGTTTTTCCATCTGAAAAAAATATCAGCTGCCTCTTTCCCTCAGGGTGCTTGTAAGGCTAACACAAACATATGCAAGGTGTCCTTCCTCTGCAGCCCTAGCAGTGCTCCTGAAGTTGCCTGGTGAGTGCTGGAACAGATTGCTGGGATCTGGAGTTCTGATGTATTATGCCTTGATCCTGCAGAGAAAGAAAAGAGGGAGAAATCCAGCCAAGAGGGAGGGGATGCGCTGGGGACCTGCCATGACAACACGCCCTCATTGAAAAGCCGTGAGTCTTGGGCAAGGGAGGAGTTCTCTGCCGCAGGTCCCCTCCCTTCCTCTAAGGCCCTTTTTCTCACAAGCTGGGGTAAACTTTAAAGTTGTATTTTGCTTTGTTAAGTCAAGTAACACATATTCATTATAGATAAATTAGAAAAAAATAACTTGTTTTCATGCATGTTTTCCACCTCTGTCTCTGTGCATGTATGTAAATAGTGTATATGTATATAACCTGCTATGTGCCCTCTGAAAAACTTGACAACTGTTGTAGAGAAGTCTCAGCCATCAGTGGGAGATGGACTCACCTTGTGGGCAACTGACCCATGCTGACAGCAAGTGTCACGTGGGGCTCTGGCTGGTCTGGTGACTGGCCCAAGCAAGGCCATGTTGGAAGAGGGTGTAAGGAACTGGGCAACCCAGGAATCTCTCAGGTGATGGCAGGAAATAAGTGGTCATTCTCCCTCTGATGCCCCTGACTGGACTCTTTCATAGTGGTCGCCACTGGGAACTTACTGGACTTGGAAGAGACCACCAAGGCCCCGCTATCCACAGTCAGTGCTAACACCGCTAATGTGGATGAAGCACTGAGGCCTCCAGCCTTGAGCAGCAGCAGTGTCGTCTGGGTGAGTGACCCTATGCCCTGAGGACCCCACGGGATCCGCTGAGCATCAGCCAAATCTGTGGAGGAGCCTAAGGTGGCTCCTGGGTCCACGCCCTCACACTGACTTATGGGTCTCTGGGAGGACTGGACCTAGCCCTACAGCACGCGGGCCCAACGTAGGGGAAGAACAATGTCCCCTTTGAGCCCAGGGCTGCGTCCCTAGCAGTCCTAGCTCCAAGCACAGCTGTCTCCTCACAGTGCCCAGCCTCTTGGCTGGAGCATCCAGAGCTCTGCCCACCACAGGATCAGCCAAAGGCTCCCTTGTTCTTGGCAGGGCAGAGTTTGTCCCTGATACCCCTCCCCGCTCAGCCGAATGAATGAAGAGCCAGGGCCTGGGCTGCTGTCAGCCTGACCCTCCGCTCCGTGACTCAGGGCAAGCCCCCTTCACCTGCCTGGGTCTCAGCTTTTACATCTCCTCACTGAGGACTGTGACCTCTGCCCACAGAGCTCCCAGAGGAAACTGAACTCTTTTAATTTTTCATTTAGAAATAATTTCAGACTATGTTACAAAAATAGTGTCAAGAATTTGTGATGGTGATCAGAACTGGAAAGCGAACGTGGATACAACCCTCCTCTGTAGTCTGTAGAGCTTACCTTTGCCCAGTTGTCTTTCTGTGTCCTTTGTCCAGGAGTTACTGTAGATTGGTCACTTGTCATAGCTCTTTAATTTTTAAGAGTCTAAAACATTGAGGAACTTCAGTCACTGTCAGGTCCCTCCAGTGGGACAAACTAGTGTTCCGAAACCTGCCCTCTCTTATGGGGGATCGTTCTTACCGCCTGCCAAGTGGCACTAGGGGGCCGTGGGACCTTGCCTGGTGCTTTTCCACTGAGGCTGCCATCATCAGTCTTCTGGGGTCACTTAGGGTTTGAGCTTGGCTTTCGAGGGGATAAAGGCGGTCAGCTTCCTTCTCCAGCCTTTGCCATTTGGAATTTGAAAGCCGTGGAAATCACAGGTCTCATTTTATGGGAAGAAGCGCTTAGTCTGAAGGAGAAGCCATGACTTGCTCCTGTCACAGGCAGCTAGTGACAGAGCTGGGACTGAACTCACTGACCCTTTCTCTTGTCTCAGCCCCAGCTTTGGGTCCTTGGGCTGAGAGGCTGAAATGGGAGCCCTGCCTGTGCTTGTTTCTCTGAGTACCCCACTGCATCCCTTTGCCAAGCCCTGTAGGTCACCCCCGAGAGGAGCGCAGGATCCCACTCAGAGCTCTCACTTCCTGTTTTGTTTCCCCAAGGAGCTGGATGATGGCCTGGATGAAGCATTTTCTAGGTAATGTTGACTGTTTACCCAAGGTGGGCTGTGCCTGCCCTTTCCTCCTGGGGCCTCTGCCATGCCTGAGAATGAGTCCCTCTGATTGTCTTTCTCGAGGTCAAGAATTCCACCTCTACCCAAATACCTCCTAAAACAGGGAGCTCCCTGCCCAGGGAGGGAACCCCTTCCAGAGTGGCCAGATGTGTTCAAAAGCTCTTATTACTGAGCCCAAACCTCTTCGCAGTGGCTGCTCTGCAGCAACCTGACCTGTGCTAAGCACTGCAGCTCACACTCATTTCCTCTTCCTATGCTGGGTCTGCGGCCTCCACATGCTGGCTTTTTGCAGCCTTTGTCCCCTCCCCTCCACACAGCTTGTCTTTATGCAGGAGCAGGGAGAAGGCAGTGCTTGATTAAACCCCTTTAATGCAATAGAGAGCAGGATGTCAGGCTCCTAGGTAGGGGTTTTGGTAGCGCCCCAGGGCAGTGATAATTCCCCATTTTTCCAGGGGCCTCCCTGTGCTACTGACTGCCTTTAGCTTGAGGACACACTGCCAGGAAGTCTGGTTGAGGAGAGGCCTGGCAGCTGGCTCGGGGTACTGTGCTCTGCTCCCCATCACTCAGGCCTCTCCTTTCTACTTGGGACTTGCAGCTGCTCCCTTCAGCCTTCCCACTTCTGCGGTGTCTGTCACTTAAGATTGGGGTCTGTTGGGTGGGACAGAGTCAGAGGATTTGCTTTTGCCTTCTTGCCTCCCCACCCCACCTGCTTCCTGCTGCAGCCTGGTGGAGAGCCCCAGTCCAGCCTGGTGAGGCAGCATATATGGTCCCTACATGGAAGCAGAGACCTTCTCCCCACCTTCTCTGCTTCCTTGACTCACAACACCACTTCTTTTGAAGAAAAGCTTTCATTCGCTTTTCTCAGATTATTCGAGTATCATGTGGCCTTTACTAACAATTTCAAAAGTCAGCAAAGCATTCTACAGAAAACAACAGCATGTTATAGTCATACAGCCCATACTTGGGCTTAATTCATGCTGGTCCTGTACATAGACATTATGCGAAACCCATCAGCTCATAGTATTTGCCTTTGGCTCGTGTGTAGACCCCTTTCCAGGTGGCTAACATTTCCCATAAATACCTCCTGAGGATGTGGGTCGTCATTCACTTAGCTCACCCTATTCTTGTGGACATTTATGTTGTCTCTTCTTTATGTTATTTATTTGAGAAGCACACTATTGAACAGAGTTACAGCCAAGCAGTCTTCCTGTAGTTGACCAGTACCCGCCCCTGGCCAGTTGCCACTGCCTTTGCAGTGCTACCTCCTCCCCTCCTCTCTGGGCAGCTCCTGCCCTGGCTGAGGTCAGTGTGAGTAGCCTTTTAGGGATGGAAGTGGGAGAGATGGGGATCCCACTCCCTGGCCCACAGTTTAGACCTTCTAGGGCAACCTGTTCAGAGGCTATACCTCTTCTGGCCACTAGGACATTCTCCTTTGCTCTTTGTCCTGCCGTTTTCCTACCCTTGTCCTCCTTTCTGGCCTTGGTACTGGCCAGGCTACGCTTGTTTTGGGGGCCCACCAGTCTGCACCTATGCCCTAGGCTGACATAGCTCTGTGTTCCAGGCTGGCGCAGTCGAGAACAAACCCCCAGGTCCTGGACACTGGGCTGTCGGCACAGGACATCCATTATGCCCAGTGCCTCTCTCCTGTCGACTGGAACAAGCCTGACAGCAGTGGCAATGACCAGGATGACCTCTTCGGCTTCTGAGGGCCTGGGGCAAGCAGGACATAACCAGCCCTGACACATGACGGACCAAAGCCACCTGTGGTGGGGGAACCAGCTCCAAGACGTGCCGGCTGCCCCTTCTGGCCTACAGCAACATCAGCCTGCAGATCAAAGCTGCAGCCAGTCAAGCAGGGGGAAGGAGAGATTTTTTTTTTTTTTAAACCTGCTCCTTCTCTGCAAACTGAAAGAAGCCTTGAATATTTATTCAGTGACTCCTGGTCTGTAGTTGGAAGCTGGTTTTGCATCAGGCACATAACAGATGCAGTACTGTGACTGGCCTTGTGCTCTTTCTCTTCTTGAGCCGGCTCTGCTCTTTGTGGGTGTCAGACAGTGACCAAAGCATTTCTCATCCCTCCTCCTTTTTTAAGAACGTGGATTTCCCCAAGGACATCCCCACTCCTTATGGAAAGCAACCAGAACTCAGAGCTTGTCATCTTGTGTGCTTAGGAGGAGACTGCCACCTCTGGAGAGGCCTGGGACCTCAGGCTTGCTTTTCTCAGGGTCCAGCAGGCCTGGGCTCAAGGCCTAGCTCTGGAGCTCTTGGGAGGGAGCCCCTGACCAAAGATAACACAGCTTGGCACTTTAAAACCTACAGGGGCCAGGGAAATGGCTCAGTGGAATAAGCGCTTGCCTGGCAAGCGCAGGGGCCTGAGTTCAACCCCTGATTCCACAAAAAAAAACAAAAAAAAACCTACAGCAGGTGTGGCCTCAGGGGCTTCACCATGGTGCTGCATTGGATAAAGCTTTTTTTCTACCCCTCCTCCCTAGAGGGGGCCCAAAGTCCCTTTGAATGGTACCTTCCTGTCCTGGGACCCGGTGTGACTGACTGCCTGTGACTTCGAGAGTCTCACTGCAACCATGGGGATCAGCTCTTTGTGATTCTCCTTCCCTTCCTGGGATGAGGCTGCTCCTGCTCTTGTTTTGTCTGTATCCCTGAGAGTGTCCCTGTGTCCTGCCTCCACATACCTCCTGGGATAGTGTGTGGGAACTTGCACCTAGATTCACATAGGGATATTTTGCGGCCATTTTACAGATGAAAAAAGTGAGGCCACCCTCATGGAGAGGGTGGAGTTGAATAGAACCTGGATCTGGTGCCAAAGCTGCTTTCTCTGCTGCCACCTCTCACAACTCATACCTCCTTTTTTCTAGCTTTGTTGTCCTCCCAGGAACCAAAAATCCCCAGCTATTTTCTGACTAAAATGTGTTTCGTAACAAACCATCTGGTGCCTTTCCACACAGAACTGGCACAAGCCTCTGTGCCCTGCTGGCTTTCTCACTGTCAATTTCCATGAAGATGCAAGTGTTTGAAGTCTGCTAAATCCAAGAGTGAAACAAAATCAAACTCCGTAAGCATCACGCTGTTCTCTTTCCTGACACGGCGGCCTGGTCAGGACATCCCAGCAGTGAGCTGAGCTGTCTTTAGAATCTCTTTCCTTCCTCCCAACTTGGCCCTTGGGCTCTAGCATCTGAAACCCAGCCAAGCCTGGAGTATCTTTCCCATCCCAAGGTGCCTCCCAGCGGCCTGGCTTGTCAGGACAGGTTTCTGTATCCCCTGAAAACTCACCACATTTCTTAGAAGCTGGGTCTCTTGAGTGTCCAATCAGAATGGGGCTGGGGTGTGTGGGGGTGTAGGACCTTCCTCAGAAGGAAGATGACTTTTTTCCCTGCCACTCCCATGCCCCTGCATCCCCCTCAGACCTTGGGACCAGCCCTGTAGCTGTCCAGGCAGCAGGGGTGGGGCAGGACACCAGCTGTCCTCAGCACGAGTACGGGCGGGCCTCCTGTGTAGTACTGGCCTTCATCAGTCTCTTGTTGACAACTGTCTGCACTTCCCGTGTGTCAGCAGCCAAGTCTCATGTTTTGCTTTGTGATGCTGTAAACGGAGGCTAATGGGAAAAAAAAAATAATAATAAATGTTCTCTTTTTGAAGTATAAGCAGCACTTAGATGAAGTGACCAGAGTGCAACAGCCAGTGGCTCCTGCCTGTTGGCAGTGGAAGCGGAAGTGACCACAGACCTGGGTGGGCAACGCACCAAGAAGCAATACCCAGTGTACCCAGAGCAGGGATGTTGGCCTCAAGGTTTCCTCTTCACCCAGCAGATGGGCATGTGTGAGATGAAGTCACCCTGGACAACTGACAGAGACTGGCCAGTTACCCAGTGTGTCCACATGGATGAGGTCTCTGAAAACTGGAGCTAAGATCTGTGTGTGTTCTCCTAGCCCTTTTCCCCATGGAGGATGTCATTTCTATCGCATTCTCAAATGATCTGTGACGTTCCCTTACTAGATTTACTCTGCTGCATGCAAATCAGGCCTGGCTTCAATGCTGGGGCCAAAGGCCAGGCAGAGCCCCTGCAAACCCACGCATGTGCAGCTTTGTGTGGTGAGAGACAGTTGGGTGTTTCAGTGACTTGGGAGACCCGAGACTCAGTTCTGGCTCTGCTGTTTAGAAACTGACCTTGGATCAGTCACCTTTTTTTTTTTTTCCAAGTGAAAAATCTTTATTGTGAAGTTTCCTGTGGTGACACTCCCTCCTGAGCTGGATCCCAGCTAAGGAGGCTGAGGCAGGAGGTCATAGGTGAGCCCCAGCCTGGGCAACTTGGTGAGACCTGTCTAGAAACTTTTCTCAAGGGCTGAAAACATAGCTCAGAGCAAACGCCCTGGGTTCATTCTCTTGTTAACAAACATACAAACAAACCTTCTATACCAGCTATGATGATCATTAAAATTTAGAAGTACAGCTTTTAACAGTGTCCGGGTAATAACGTTCCCTTTGCTGCACCAGCAGAGCTGTCGGATGCCCACCCTGCAGGTACAGACGCGATGTTCCCTTCGCCGCGCCCTCCTGGGTGTTGGTGGGGAAAGCGCGCTGCTGCTTGGTGCAGCCACCCAGACCCTAGAGTACATTCTTTAGTAATCCTTTCAAAGAGGGTACATGGCAGACAAATCTTCTGAATTCATCAATATCAAAAAATGTTCTTGTTTGGCCCTCAAAATCAAAGGCCAGTCTGGCTGGGTACCAGATTCGTGGGTAGAAGCTGTTCTTGTGCAGGACTCTCACGGTGTCGCACCACTGGCTCTGGGCATCCAGTGTGCTCAGCGAGAAGTCTGCCGTCAGCCGGATCCTCTGGCCTGCATAGGTGACCTCTCTCTCTTGTGAGGCCTTCAGTATCTTCTCACTGGGACTTCAGAACGTCACCAAGATGTGTCTAGGAGTGAGCTTTCTCTCATCCACCTTGCTGGGGACTCGCTGAGCACTGATGACCTCAAGCCTTGAGCTCTTCCTCAGCTCTGAAAAGTTTTCTTCAATGATTTCTTTAATTATGTCCTCTGCCTCGTTCGCTTTGTTACCATCTTTTTCTGGGACTCTGTTCACACGGACATTGGAGCTTCTGAATTCGTCTTCCAGGATGCAAAGTTTCTCGTTATTCAGCAGCTGCCTGGATATCTGCGCTGCATCCCTGGATGCCTCTTCCACTTGGCTGTCCAGACAGCTCACTCTTTCCTCGAGCTGAGCTACCCTGCAGTGCAGGTCATCTATCGAATGCTTAACTTCCTTGACATTGGGGCAACATTTCCTTCTGCGCTCCATCTCCTCTTTTATCTCTCTGAAGATGCCGACCACTCTTCTTCTGAAGTTTTCTTCTGTTTCCTGGATTAAGGCTGCTTCTTCAGACATCAGCTCTTTCATCTGCAGTCTTGTTCCTCTCTTTCTGTTTTCCCTAAAAACTTGGTGACCTCTGATGAAACACTTGGATTTGCCCATGAACACGTTTTGTGCTCACAGGAGCTTCGCTCTAGTGATTTCGAGAGAGCACTGTGATGCGAAGTCGGATGGAGAACCTCGATTCCTTGACCTCTGGAAGCAGCCGTTTCCTGCACCTCGGCCTTGTGCTTCCCCCTGGGTCTGCACCGGCCCTTCCTTCTCCCGACTACAGGCAAGTCCCTCACAGCACTGAGGCCCCTTCTCCCTCTGTGCTTGGGCTCCCTCCTCCCTCCTGCTCCTCCATCTCAGAGTCTCCTTTTCCCTCCTTGTCAGTCTCTGAGTTTTCTTCTTCCCCCCAGGATTCCTCCTCCTCCTCCAGCCACATCCCTTCCTCCCTTTTCCTCCTCCTCTGCTGCAGAGCTATCTGCTTCCTCCCCCTCCTCCTTTTCCTCCTCCTCTGCTCCAGAGCTATCTGCTTCCTCCTCCTCTAGCCATGAATCCTCCTGCTCCCCGACCTTGGGGCTTTCCTTTCCCTCCCACTCCGAAGACGCTGAGCTTCCCGCCTGAGCCCCAGCCACCTTCACCTCTTTAATGAACAGCAAGTTAAAGCCATCGTTTGCTGGGTCTCCAGCTCCACACTTTGAGGCTCTCAGAGGATTCTCCCCCTTTCTCCGCATGAGTTTGCACTCTGGGAAAGTATCTTTCAGCAAATCTCTCATGAAAGCTTTCTGGTTGGAAAACACCTGAGGCTCTGCAGATCTGAGAAGATCTGGACTTCGCCATTGCATTTAAATGCCAGTTCAACCTTACATAGAAACTTGGGATCAAAACCATTTTCTCCCAAAACGCGGAAGATGCGAGCCCACTGCCTGCCGACTTCCAGCGTTGCGGAGGAGAAGTCAGCCGCCAGCGTCAAGGTGGCGCCCTCAGCCCCGGCTCGGCCTTCTTGTGCAGCCGGCTCTTCCTTCCTCGGGTCCGCGAGGGTTCTTCCCGCCCGTGTTTCCTCCGCTGGCTCTCGTTCTCCGGCCTCTCTTTCCCGAAGGTCTCCTGGGGTCTCATGGCCTCTCTGTCCCTCGTTCCTGGGCGAGGCTGCGCCCGTGCTCCTTCTGACTCAGCCCGGTGGAGGGCGCGCCTTCCCTTGGCCCCGACGGCCTGTGCGAGCTGTGTCCGCGCACCTGGTTTTCTTCTGGAGCTCAAGCTTTGGGTGTCCTCGCCCGCACTGGCGTCCTCCGTCTTCTCTACCAAGGGCGTTGAACCTTTTACTTTTTGTCTCTCCTTTCTGAACCAGGAGCTCTCTGCATTTTTCACTGCAGCTGTTGTGATTTTTGCTTCCATAAATTTCCTTGCGAAAGTCTTCACTGCCTCTTAAAACTCGAGCTCATTCTTGTCACACCCGGTGGCATCCTCAGAGGCTCCTTCCCTCTTGGTGGAAGCCTTTCCTCCCCTCCTGTGGCCTTCTTGTCCCTTTGCTGGTCTTGCCAGCTTGGGTTGAACCCTGGGCATCATGGCTGTGCTGTCAAAGCTGGTTTTCTCTTTTGGAATAGTAGATCTGTGTATGTCCACAGGGTAGACGTCTTAATTCAGATTTTTAAAAAAATGTCACCTGTTCCCGCTGGCCAGTTCTGCTCCGCACGGACATCACTTGGAGAAGGAGCCCAGTCACCTCTTTCCTTGAGCTTTGGTTTTGCCTTTTTTAAATCTTTTATTTATTTATTTGTTACAGGGTCTCACTATGCAGCTCAGACTTGTAGTGATTCTTCTGTCTCAGCCTCCCCAGCACTGGGGATTACAGGCATGTGCCATCACGCCTGGTTTCGGTGGCTGGGTTGGCAGGGGGCCAACAAGGCATGCAGTACCAGGGATTGAACTGAGGTCCTTTCCCTTGCCAGGCAGGTGCTTAGACCCCTGAGATAGCACCCTGGCCCAGTTTTGCCTTCTTTGAACAAAGTACAATGTTCTTTCTCTGTCTGCCTCCCTGGGTTCACACTGTTGGTAGAATTTGTAGTCATGTGGCTTTGAGTTTACCTGAGAGCAAAGGAGGATTAGGACTGTATTGTTTAAGAAAATCAAAATCGGTGACTAACTACATTAACCAAGTATCTCCTGCACCCAAGGGCGATGCTGAACTCCTGATTTAGTTCACAGTGGCCACCAACAATGAGCCCAGATGCCATCAGTTCCCCTAGTGCTGAGGGCTCCAGGGTCGGAGAGGAAGGCAGTCGTGCCCCAGTGCTTGGTGAAGCCATAGCCATCACCTTGTGACCCTCATCTGCAGCGTCCAGGCATTGAAAGAGGTGGCTGTGGCCAAGCTGCCCACAGCCTCCTCTCCATCTGCATGGTGACCATCACTATGAGTCTGTGCTCCTCTGGTCTCTGGCTGCTGTTCAGGGACTCCTCAGTCCCCTGCCCATGCTGCAGTTGGCAGGGTCTCCTCATGTGTCTTTTCTTTATCTCTCCCAAACAGTGACACTTCAAATGTCCAGGACCCAGAGGCAGAGCCTTGTGATGTCTGCCATTGGACAGGCTCCCTGTGAATTCTGAGTGGATCATAGAGACTAAGAAATTCTCTCCTTTCTTTCCCCTATAATTTTAAAAGACACCCAACAAGTTCATCTTTCAGTTTAAATTTGGCCAAAGTCTTTAGTTTCCGGATGTCTCAAATTATGAATCCTGAGCACCCGCCGTCTGCTCTTTCATGCATAACGGATGGAGCAGGAAGAACAAAGTTGCCTTTCAGATTTGATGTGACCTTCAGCTTCCCTCAGTGGATGTTGAAGTCTTAGGAGAAATCATCCTAATTAAATCTCTCCCAGAGCTTTTGAATAAGCATGGTTTGGGAGTCAAGGGTGGGTTCCATGTTTAGCATGCTGGCTTGGATCTGTCTGCTCAGCTTTCTTCTACCTGTGTTCCTGTGTGGATCAGAGGGGCCTGTGTGTTTATAGGGAAGTGACTTTTGACCCCATTTGGTCCTTTGTAGTCACCTCAGTGTCACCAGTCCTTGCAGCTTTGCCACAAGGTGGGTAGTCCAGGCCCCAGTTTAGGAATGGGTTGTCTGAGTGAGGGAAGATGAACAAATTGAACACTCTGCCAGTAGAAAGTGGCCCTGGGATTCTGATCCATCTGGCTGGCTGCAGAACTCATTTCTGCTGCACTGGGCCCCTCTTCCCAGAGCAAAGGGCACCTAAGC